ATGTGTATGAGATCAGACATGGTTATCAGGTCTTGGAGCTCCCCAGTCATTTGAGGATATTTTAGAGAGAGAATGTGCTTGCATTTTTGTTCCTGTTAAAGTAGTTTTACTGCATTTATTGAAAATGTTGCATGATTAGTTTGCTGTTCGTAAAGTTACACTTGACCATCTTCAGAATTCCTGAAGGCAAACGTGTTGATTCCCAATTCAAGGATATGGTGTTGTGTCTTGCATTGCCCTATTCCTTTATGTATTTTTCCCTCCAGCAGAGTCCGAATTATGCAAACCTATTCTCATGTCTCCATTGGAACGAGGGGAAGAGCTGAGAACGGGAGTGAGAAGAGTTCTGCAGGGTGAGTTCGCCAGCAGGCATGAAGAGCAGTGCTAGTCTGGGAAACATGCAGTACATTTTAACTTTGTAAACTTATCAGGGTGTACTCTTTTTCCTGACAAGGCTGAGGCCATTTGGTTTCTGAGTTTCCTCAGGTACTTGAACTCCCTTTTTTTTTTTTTTTTTTATCTGAGGCAGAGTCTTACTCTGTTACCCTGGCTAGAGTGCTGTGGCATCACCCTAGCTCACAGCAACCTCAGACTCCTGGGCTCAGGCTATCCTCCTGCCTCAGCCTCCTGAGTAGCTGCGACTAAAGGTGTACACAACGACGCCTGGCTAATTTTTTCTATTTTTAGTTGCCCAGCTAATTTTTTTTTCTCTTTTTAGTAGCGACGAGGTCTTGCTCTTGCTTAGGCTGGTCTTGAACTCCTGAGCTCAAGTAATCCTCCTGCCTCGGCATCCCACAGTGGTAGGGTTACAGGCGTGAGCCACCATGCCTGGTCAGTTCCCCTTCCCCTTTAAATTTCCATTCATCTTCTCAACCTTTTTCTGTTCTTAGAAAGGTCTGTCTGCTTTATTTTAAAATTTCATTTTATGCATGTGGCTCCTTTGCCAACACCTTCTTTTATTGCTTTCCCGATTCTGTCATCTTTTTGCTTCCTGTCAGCCTCGGTTTTCTAGAGTATTATTATATATATTACTTGGCAAATTACCTATAGTTTTGACACCATGTCTTTGTCATTGCCAAACTTCTCATGTAGCCAGATTCTTTGTAGTCCATGACTCCTCCTGTTTCACGGTTTTTATCATGTTTCATATTTAGAAAGATGTAGGCATGTGCCATATGCTTATATTTGGGGTAAAATACATAAAAATTAACTATTTTACTGAGTATACTTCATTGACATTGAGTACATTCAGTGTTGTGCAATCATCAGCTCTTTTTATTTCCAAAGCATCTTTTATCACCCCAAAAGGAAACCCTGTTGTCATTAAGCAGTTCCCCCCCATTCACCTCTATCCCCAGTCCCTGCTGCCACTAATTTGCTTTCTCTCTCCATGGATTTACCTATTCTGTATATATCATATAAATGGAATCATACAATGTGACCTTTTCTGTCTGACCTCTGTCATGTAGTATCATGTTTTCAGGGTTCATCCATGTTGTAGCATGTATCAGTACTTCATTCCTTTTTTATCACTGAATAATATTCAGCGGTGGTTCACACCTGGAATCGTAGCACTCTGGAAGGCCGAGGCGGGAGGATTGCTTGAGCTCAGGAGTTCAAGACCAGCCTGAGCAAGAGCGAGACCTTGTCTCTCCTAAAAATAGAAAAATTAGCCAGGCATTGTGGCATGGGCCTGTAGTCCCAGCTACTCGGGAGCCTGAGGCAGGAGGATCCCTTGAGCTCAGGAGTTTGAGGTTGCTGTGAGCTACGATGATGCCACTGCACTCTTCCCAGGACAACAGAGTAAGATTCTGTCTTACAAAAAAAAAAAAAGATAACTAATTTAGTCTTTATCAGACTCAATGCCTTGGTTTTCTGGTACAGGTTCTATTTTTTTTTTTATTGTTCTTCTGCACACTTCATAGTTTTTTCCTGAAAATGTAAATTTTGGATATTATAATGTGGCAATTTGGAAATCTGATTCTGTCTCCTTGGGGTCTGTTGTTGCTTTTTTTGGGGGGTGCCTAATGTTTGTGTAGTGACTTTTATGAATTATTTTTGTGGCGTCTGCATTCTTTTTAGTGCAGTCCTGAAAGGCTGTGTTCTTTAGCTTAGCGATCACATTAGAGTGACAGTTTCCTTAAATGCCTAGAGCCAAGAAATGAAAAATAAACACATTCTTTTGTTTTTTGCTGATGGCCTATGTGTTGGGTCACTTCATTGCCTAGCCAGGCTGTTTACACCTTTTCCTTAGTCTTCCTTTGCTGCTTATATGGATCTTGTTGGTCAGCCAGAAGTGAAAACTTAGGGTCTTTCTGAGCATACATCCAGCCCTGAGTATGCTTGTGGCCTTCTGGATTCCCTGGTAGACACTGGAGCTTATAAAGCCCTTATTTATCCACATATCAGCATTCCCAACCTGTTCTTTACTGGAGTTTGCAGTCTGTCTATTGTTTGTCCCAACTCTTTTCCCTTTTCTCAGGTTGCTACAGGCAACACTTTACCTTTAGGTAACACTTTGAGCAGAAGCTGCTTGGGATGCTGCCTCAGCCTTGAGAACTCTGAGTTGGGTGAAATAGAAGCAAGCCCTTGCACTGGCCCTTGAGGAAGCTGCCAGACAGTTCAAAACACACAATGACAATTCTTTGAGGATAAGGCCCCTATTGCTCCTTTTGGCACTACCAGCTTGCACAGGGCATTTGTCCTGCCATCTGTACAGCAGTGGGTAATCTGGAGAGTGCGGATGGTACCTTCCCATTTAAAATGCCGCAGTGTTCTCCTAGTGAAACGCAGCTACTCTTTCTTCCTGAAGTGTTCCCCTGGTTATTGTAAATGTTTGACCAGATTCCAAAGTTCCGCAACAGTTGATTCTGATAGCTTTTCTGAGTGTGTTAGTTGTCTTGTGGTGGGAAGGAGCCCTGGAGCTCCCCACTGTGCCACATTTGGTAATGCCATTCCTGTGCCTTATGATTTTAAACAACTTTATCCTCCAGTTTTTCTCCAAACCCATATTTTTTATTTTATTTTCAGAATTGAATTTGCAAATCAAAACCAAAGCCTCACCACTGCTTCAAGATATTTATACAGAAACATCATTAAATGGAATACAACTGGTAAGATTTCCAGGAGATGAAATCTTCCACACTAGAACAAGAAACACAATATCCATGAGAATTATGTGAGGAAAATGGCATTTACCCAGAGAAAGCAGTCTGCGAAGAGATTCTCTGAATATCATGAATCTGGAGAGTACTCTAAACTTACTCCAAACCGGTTTTTTCTTAGAGATCTCACAAATAAACATCCACATATATGTGACTCGTATTCAGTTTGGAGTATACAATTTAGTCTAAATAATTATCAGACAAATTCTCTAAGAAGCTTTCTGAACATAGAGAACATAGGGAGGCTCCTGGCCTCATAAGCAGATTATTCCATTTAAAATAACCCCCAAACAGGGCAGGAACTGTGTACACATAGTGGAAACGTTAAAATGTTCAAATATGATATTTCCAATGCGTAAATGTTGTGATGGGGAAGAAATTCTATTACTATACTGAACATGAGAAAATCTTTAGTCATCATTCGTATCTTAATCAACAGGAGAGAAGCAATACTGCAGAGAAACTCTGTGGCTCTAACCATTGTGGAAAAGTCTTTAGTGAACATCTGTCTCTTATGACTCACATGAGAACTCACATTGGAGAGAAAATTTCTGAGGATAATCAGAGTGGAAAAGCCTTAAGAAAGAACTTAATTGGTAATTTTTATAAGAAAACTCATGTTGAGGAGAAAACTTCTAAGTTTTTTCAACATGGAAAAGCTTTTATCCAGTTTCCAAATTGTACTGGTCAGAAGAAAACTCATACACGGGAGAAACTGTGTGAATGCAAAGATTGTCAGAGAACTTTTCTTAAGCAGTCATCCCTTAAGGTACATAAGAGATCTCACAATAGAGAAAAACACTATGTATGTAAGGAATGCGGGAAAGCCTTCAGTAATTCCTCACACCTTATAGGCCATGTAAGAATTCACAGTGGAGAGAAACCCTATGTTTGTAAAGAATGTGGCAAAGCTTTCACTCAGTCCACAGGACTCAAATTACACATCAGAACTCACACTGGAGAAAAGGGCTACGAATGTAAGGAATGTGGGAAAGCATTTGCTCGGTCCACAGATCTTAATATGCACATGCGAACTCACACAGGAGAAAAGCCCTGCGAATGAATGTGGGAAAGCTTTCAGATATTCCACGTGCCTTAATGTTCACATGCGAACCCACACTGGCGCAAAACCGTATGAATGTAAGGAATGTGGGAAAAACTTCAGTCTTCAGTACTTGCTAAACATCTAAGAACTAAGGCATGTGAAAAAACCTGAAATTGTCCTCAGACCTTAGTATTTGTATCTGAACTCAACTGGGAAAAAAACTTATGAATGTAAAGAATGTGTGAGAAACCTTCACTCAGTTTTCATTTCTTACATAACAGGTGCGAATTTATCATGGGCAGAAGGCCCATTCATACAAGGAATACGGGAGAACAGTAATTCTTTGTATATTATACAGTATAAAAACTAATATTTGAGGGAAAAAAAACTTCTCTAAGACATGTCAGAAAGCCTTTTTTTGTTGTTCCAACATTGTTTATTTTATATAACTAAAATTACTGTAAAAGCCAATTGAAGGTAAGACTGAGATACAAGCTTACAGTACTTCACATGCCTTAATAGGACATCATAACCCACATTTGAGAAAAACCCTCTGTATGTAAAGAATGTGCTCAAACATTTACTTCATGCTCAGGCCTTCGTACCCACATGAGAATTTACAGGGGTATAAAACCCCACAAGTGTAAAGGCCACAAGATCTTCACTTCCTCATACCTTTTAATAACTCAACATTTAAGAACTCACAGTGGAGAGATACCCTATATATGTAAGAAATCTGGGACATCCTTCAGAAATTTCCAACAGTTTCATGTGTAAACAGCCTCATGAATTTAAGAAATTTAAAAAATCCTTCAGGTGTTCATAAATCAACATGCAGTGGAGAGAAACCCTATGAAGGTAAGATATGTGGGAAAGCTTTAGTTCCGCCTCATATGTTAATATTTGGTAATCTCACAGAGGCTAAAAACAGAAACATTAAAAATATGGGAATACATATATACGTACACACATACACATATATTCTGCTTTCATCCTTTAGTAAAAATGATAATTCACACTAGAGGAATTGTGATTGTAGAGAATGAGGAAAATGCTGCATCCATTTTACAAGTCTTGCTGTACATGTGAAAACCCACTGCAAAGAAGCTATATGAATGTAAAAATGTGGGAATGTTTTTAGTAAATGCACATCAAGAGAATTGGAAAATACTGGAAGGATGAACTATGAATTTGAGGACTTCTGGGAAGCTATCAGGTACTATTCTTCCGAATTCATATTGGAGGAGAAATTGAAATAAATGACATGAGAATGAGATTGTCTTTCTCTGTGTCTTACTGTCAGTGAAGGCACCTGGCCCCTCAATTTTCTGTGACTGAAAATTTTAATTGCTTTTAAAATTCCTTCTAAGTAGATTTTTTCCTATATTATACTGAGAACAGCATGGGGAGGAGCAGGACTGGAGCAGTAAACTATGCAGTGGGTGTTAGGATGTTATATTTAATCCCCATGGTAACCACAGAGAAAATATCTATGTAGTATACACAAAATGAAAAGAAAATTTGTCACTACAAAAAAAATCAACTAAACAAAAAGAAGGCAATAATAAAGGAAATGAGGAACAAAAAGTAATAAGACATACAGAAACCAAGTAACAAAATTGCAAAAAAAGTCTTTTTGTTGGTAATTGTGTGAAAGGTAAATGGATTAAATTTCCCAATCAAAGGTATAATTCAGTGGAATGGGTTAAAAATGCGTAACCCCACTATATGCTGTCCCTTACTCTAGATCTACAGTCAAAAAAAGGTTGAAAGTGAAAGGTTGGAAAAATATATTCCATGTAAATAGTAACCTAAAGAGAGCTGGGCTGGGTATACTAATGTTAGGCAAAATAAACTTGAATTTAAAAACTGTTAGAAGAGACAATGAAGAACAGTATGTATTGACAAAAGGTACAATTCATCCTGAAGATATAACAATTATAAATGAATATGTACCAAACATCAGAGCCTAATTTACATAAAGCACACACTGACAGAATTATAGGGAGAAATAGACAATTCTATAATAACAGTTGGAGACTATAATACACCACTTTCAATTCAGTAGATAGAACAGCCACACATAATATCAATAAAGAAACAGGATAAGCACCATATATCAGTTGGACCTAACAGACACATTCAGAACACTTCACCCAACAACAGCAGAATATACATTTTTCTCAAGTTTATATGGAATAGTCTCTAGTATAGAACACATATCAGGGCACAGAATAAGACTTAATGAAATGTAAAAGCCTGAAATACAAAGTGTCTTTTCCAATCACAATAGGATAAAACTAGAGATGAAAAACAGAAGGCGAATCGGAAAATTCACACGTTTTATTATAAATAACACACTCCTGACCAACCAATAGGTCAAATAAGAAGGCACAGGGGAAATTAGAAAATACCTTGAGAGAAACGGAAAGAAAAACATGGCATACCAAAACTTCTGAGATGGTGCTATGGCCTAAACGTTTTTGTCTTCTCAACATTCGTATGTCAAAATCTTGACCCCTAAGGTGATTGTATTAGGAGGTGGGGACTTTGGGAGGTGATGAGGTCACGAGGACTGTGCAGAATGGGCTTACTGCCCCCATGAAAGGCACCCCAGAGAGATCCTCTGCCACTTCCACCAAGTAGGTCCCTTGCCTGACGCTCAATCTGATGGTGTCTTGATCTTGGGCTTCCCAGTCTCCCAAACTGTGAGAAATAAATTTCTGTGTGTCTTATCCACCCAGTCTATGGTACTTTGTTATAGGGGCGCCTGAACAGACAAAGACAGACACAGTGAAAGTAGTCCTAAGAGGGAAATTTATAGGAGTAAGTACTCAGATTTAAAAACAGGAAAGATCTCAAAGATTGAGTCAAGGAATTTTGACAGAATGCAGTTTTGTCAGTGGTCACGGAAGGACTGGGCATCTTCCCCTGTGACCTGTGATGAGAAAAAAATCAAGATTTGAGCTCGTCTTCTGTTTAGGGGCCCAGGACAGTAATCGGGACCGAGGGCTCAAAGAAACAGTTGATGGGATGAGATGCAAGTGGGTACCAGGGGTTAGGAGAATTCCAGAACCCTCCCAGCATTTATTTCAGTGATTCCCAAAAGCACTGTTACAACCCTCTGGTCTCTCTCAGATTTCTTCCATTGGCCCCTGAACCTGGCAGGATGGAATGAGGCAGAAGGGTTTGTTGGAAGCCCCTAGAATGGCTCCCACCACCCAAAAGTAGTGATTCTAGCACTGCCCAGGGTTCCAGAGGCCCAGAGAATTGACCAGTGTTGGGGTGAGGCTGCCATCTGTTCTACACTGCATCCTCTAGTCGGCCAGAACAGATGCTCTCATCTGCTGGGCTTCCACGCAGGCTGGAGCTTTATCTCTGGGAAGTGGGAAAATGTTACCTCCTTGGGAGAGGATGTGTCTGACCTGACATCCTCTGGCATTACCATAGGCAAATACCAGGTATCATCCATAACAATGGAATGTACTGCTGTAAGATAGAGATCAGCCTGAACCAACCATGCATTCCTGGAATAAATTCCACTTGCTCATGGTTTATTATTTGCATAAAGTGTGTTGGAATTTGTTTGCTAATATTTTACATAGTGCATTTATTCATTACTGATATGATTCTGCAGTTTTTAGTAATTGTGTTGTCTTTATCAGTTTATATATCAATCTTGTACTTGCAGCAAAAAAGGGTTAGGCAAGATTTGCTTCATTTTCAGTACTCTGAAAAGATTTATGGAGAATTAGGGCCATCTGGACCTTGAAAGTTTCATATATTTCCTATGTAAAAATGTCTGGGCTTAGTGCTTTTTAAAAATATTAATAATAGAGATGGGGTCTCACTATGTTGTCCAGGCTGGACTCAAACTCCTGGGCTCAAGTGAACCTCCCACCTCAGCCTCTCTAGTATCTGGGATTACAGGTGAGCACCACCATCTGTCCAGCTACTCAAGAGAAACAAGCTTAGTGCTTTTTTAATTGGATAATTCCTTTGTAACTGTTTTATGTTGGTTTACTTAGCTATTTTTTCTTTCTTTTGTGAGTGAGGAATTTAATTTATTTATGTTTATTCTCTGATTGGTGAAAATGTCTAGGGATATACATTTTCTCCTTTAAGTTCTATATGGAAGATTAGAATTTTTGCCATCACAGAAAATGGCTGTTATTGTCAAACATGTGACTCGTTCTAGATGCAGTCCTCTCTCTCAGCCTGGAAACACGGTCAACTGATTCAGTAGAGATATTTTCATATTCCATTTTAGGTTGTCCCTCTATCTCTATACTAAAAAATATGTAAAAAAATAATGTGGTGTTAAACATTAGAACTAAACAGAATGGCATGTTCTGTATCTTTTCCACCCCGTTTTCATTCCACCATGCTGTTCATCCATCCCCTATAGATTCTGAATTTTATTATTTTCTGAATAATCCTGTGTTTCCTTGTACTCAAAATGAACAAATATATATCTTATTACTGCCTATTTTTCTTAAAGAAAAGGTTTCATACTATAGATACTGTTGTGCAGTTTTCACTTAACAGTATATCTTGGAAATCACTCCATCTGAGGTCATGGGGACCTTCTTCATTTATTTCTGTAGTTACATAATAGTCGACTGGTAGATGTACCATATAATATTCAACTACTTTACTACTTGAGAGTATTCAAGGCATTCAAATTTGGGATTGCAGGCCAGGTGCAGTGACACACGCCTGTAATACAAGCCACTCAGGGGGATTGCTAGAGCTCAGGAGTTCAAGACCAGTCTAGGCAACACAGGGAGATGCCGTCTCAAAAAGAGAGAGAGAGAGAGAGAGAGAGAGAGAGAGAGAGAGAGAGAAAACCCCAAATTTGCAATTACAAACAGTGCTGCAATTAGTAATCTTGAGCATGCTTGACTTGTTAAAGGTTTACCTTCAGGGCAAATTCTTAGAAGTAGGATTGTTGTATTGTACACATAGTTTTGTTAGATATTGGCAAATTCTCCTCTGTACTGGACGGCCTCCAAATT